CAACAATAAGTACAACCATTCTATAAGGAAAAAAACTGTAAAAGCGATTATGGAAGTGAGTTGGATGGATGTTTGGCTACTTAGATTTATGTGAAAAAGAATGAGGAATAATGGAGGTAAACTGGGTTAAATATAGAAATTTATTGAGTAAATAATTCCTTTGGTCTTGATTGCACCCAAGAGATATTAGTTGTTGCTCATCACTTGCATGAATTTGCATGATTTGATTTTTTTTCTAAATTTATAATTTGTGTATGATGAAAGGCATACCTTTGAAGATGTGAGGATTTTAAAAATGCTATTTAGGTCTATCAAAGGACTTTATCATCTCTTCATCGTTATTTGTTTAAAACTTTATCAAAATAGATTGCTATTCTGAGGATTTTGCAATATTTCCGAGATTTCGTTGTATCATTGTCTTGCTGACACAAGATTCCCACGTGATATCAAATGTTATGCTGCCGATTCAGCAGGTTAACAATTTCATTTTACAACTCTCAGTTTGACATCTTTAAATACAAATTCTAATAATTCTAATAAAAATAAATATGACAGAAAAAGTTTTTATATTTTCAGAAAGCTTAAATTTAAGATGCTGTGTTGTAAAAGTGCTATTTTGAGTTCAAAACATTTGATACTTTAGCAATTTCATCACTAAAATGTTGTGAATGGGTAGATATTAGGAATATCTGAGTTGAAAATGACTTATTAAAGGACACCAAGCAACAAATATGTTAAGTTATTATATTTTTAGTCATTTTCATTCAAATGAAACCTTATTGACATAAATATGAACGCAAATCAAATAAAACTTCAAAGTTAAATTTCCAATGAAGATTCGTCACTAGTTTTTCAAACATTTCTAATTGATACATTAACTTTATCATAAAATATATGTAGATTCATAAGAAATAAACACAAAAAGCATAAAAAAACATTCTCTCCACATGAATGCATGCATAAATATACGAATATGTGTATAATTTGTAAAAAAGGAAATTAAATCGATACAAATAATTATGTGGGTAGGTAGGTAGGAAAGCAGGGGTGAATTTGAGAAAGAGAGAAGGAACAAGAGCATAGAAATAAAGAGGATGAAATATGTTATAGAAAATAAATGAGGTGTATAGAAATAAATGGAGAAAATGAGTCAGGAAAGAAAAAATAACGACTTGGAAGAAAGAAAAGAATTTTTTTGTTGATAGCTGTAATATTTTAATGTCACCCAAAAATAAACTTTTTTTCTTCTTCCTCTTCCACTTAAGCTTTCAATAATACGATATTGTCTACATAATGCTAAGGAAACATCAAAAAAATATATTTTTTGTATATTAAAGTGAGTCGCACAAAATCGATACGAGTAAGTATTTTCGTAAATTCCAATTTAGAATCTAATAGCAATGACAGTCAATACAAATAATTAAAATTAATTAAGACTAACCAATGCCCCAGCAACAAGTAAATACTACATTTTCTGTAAGTAGGCTTAATAAATCTACATAATTAATTCCATCTCCTTTGAAGTTTGTCAAATTAATTTTTAATGAAGGCTAAATTTCATGTTATTTCAAATTGTTTCGTTTCATGAAATATGAATGAAGCTGTTGATAAAGTTGTTGGATTTAAGGGTTTGAAATGATAAATTAAAAGACTTTCTAAGTAATGATTAATTATTTGTGATTTTTTCAAGGCACACTTCTGAGAAATGCTTGAAATTATGATAGATTTGGGTAAATCTAGAACTTTTCAAAAGGTCAGAATTGGGCAGGAGTTTATCTAATCTTTTGTGGTTGTTTCTGGCATTGCCAACAGTGAGAAATTGATCCAAATGATCATCGGTCGGTTAATCAGTTTCGCATCATTGATTTAACTCTTGTGAGCAACAAACCAGCTCTTGTATATAAGCAAAATGCTCACAGCTGAAGCTTGGACATTTTTGGTTCGTCATTCTCAATCCCAACCCACAACAATTTAAAGTTCATGGCTAATTAAAAGGTAAATACATTTAAATGTAAATGAATTGTATAAGCATGACTAAAATTTCAATTGACACATTCAGCAATAATCAGCAAGACATATAATTTAGTATCCAAGTGAAAACGATTAGCTAAATTACAGTTCTTGTACTCCTCCCAAAGGAAATGCTCATTGTTTAAGAATTCAGAGCCACTTTGCTTATTCAATACAAATATTCTGAAACTTAAAATTACAAAGCTTCTGTGGAAATTTCCAGAAGCACAAAATTTATATTGTGAGCATCTATACGAAAATATTTTTACAGTAGCTAGTTAACGCTTCTTCTTAGAGACCTTGAACGTTTATTGAAAGACTCGAAAATTCTTCGTCTTCGTCTCATCTAATTTTTCCTTTGTTTAAACAAAGAAGCTGGTATTGTAATGGAAAGAAAAGTTGAGAAAGCTAACAAATAGAAGTTTTAATTATGATGCCTGCAGGATCTGGAAGGCTGCTTCTTGTTTGAGGTTCTTTAACCTTATTTTGAGTCTGTTGGATGAAGAAAACTTTTACCACATAAAATGAACCATTTAATACATAACAAAGGGTTTTGATGATGTTCATATTATTTTAATTTTTTGATTCTATGTGCTAAAAGTTGATTACTTCTTTACTACCCATTTAATACACCTTTTACGTAACGTTTAATGATTCGAAAAATTTCTAATAGAATTAGTAAAATACTTGAATTCTATTCAAATTAGCAAAATTTGAGCTTTTTTCCATTTCATCTTCCGTTTTGTTATAACAAAGTCAATTATATCCTCCCACATTAAGGCACGCTTTGCAACAAAACCGTCGAAATAAATGTCAAGAATAAATTGGTAATGCTAGGCATGAATTAGCAAAATAATTTAATAAATTCGAAAACTCATTGAAATTTAAATTTCTTTTTATTAATGCTACTAAAGACTTGTGTCATATAGAAAATTTACAAGTGGATTAGAATTTTAAATTTCGTTCTCTGCATTTAAATTGGATATTTTTTGGGGGTAGTAAAAATTTTCATCTACTTAAGTGAAGTTAGAGAAAATTGTTATGGATTATTACTTTACTTGGATATAAAAATAAAAATAATAAAAACATTTTTTTTTATATTTGCGACATCCACCTGTGGGGTTCTTAGGTGAAATTTTTGTTAAATTTTGGTTCAAAGGTTTTATTTTTTAAGTTGTTGGTAGCTACACATTTGATGTAGCTTTTATATAACTTAATTTTTGAGAAATTTACTAATAAAAGCGACTCAAATGATTAAATTAAGTATTAATATAGACATTTGAAAACCAATCGTAATTCATAAACGAGCCATTCAGTCAAACCGCTTCTTCTTTATATTTCCAAAAAACTTTAAATGAAAAGCTATAAGAAGAAAATAATATCAACAATAAATCAGTATAACTTACTAAATGTCTAATTTCTATGTTTCAAATTCATTACTTAATGTAGACATACAGCCTTAGTAATAAAACATTCATAGCACAAACTATACATTACAATAATTGAAATTACAATAACTTTCAATGAAAGAATTTTTTATCGATTAAGCTCAAGTAAAATTTTTCCCTAAAAAGTAATTTTTCTCTCATTTTCAGGCCATTGATTCCTGTGTAATTAGCTGACTCGATGATAAAATAAAGTTCACCCCCTTAATAAATATCACGCCTCGAGATTTTTTTTAATATTTTCTCTTTCCACGTAAAAGTTGAATGAAAATTCTCTTCAAAATTTTTTCTTCTCTCCTCAAAAAAATCCCACAAAAAAAAGCTAAAACTTTCTTCTTCTTATTCCTATTTCATTAATGTACATTGTACAATAAAACATTTACAACCCTAACCTATGTAATCAATCCATCAACCACGTTCCGTATTTTCCCCTTTTTCTGTTTCTGTTCCTCTCACTTCATGGCAATAAAAAAAATTCAAACAAAATTCAAATAAAAATACCGGAACGAGAATGCTTTTTTTTTCTTCTTCTTGAGCCTCCTCCGTTCCTTGCTTCTTGTAAAAATTATAATTCTTCTTTCTTTATGTACATAGTGTGAGTAAAGAATGAAAATGAGAAATTGCATGCCTTGTATACTTGTTTTATATTTCCAATTTTCATTGTTAAACGGAAGCAACGCGGTACCCGGAATATCATTATATTATTATCCATTGCTTAAATCGACAAAAAATAAAGGAATAATGTAGAAATGAAAATGAAAAGAACCGTAAACAGCAACCACAAAGAATTTTTTTTATAGATTTGCATGAATGATGATGATGATGATGACGATGAAGTACAAGGGGGCTGCCTAATTTAAATAGAAAGAAAATGGGAAAAAAATCGAGCCAGAAAAAAAGAGAAACTCAACAATAGATTTAAAATCAATGATTTTGTATCCATTTTTAAAGAGAAAGTTGCTCTGCCCTTTCAGTTCCTTTCCCTGATGTCGAGCAACATAGATATTTATTGAGTCAGGCGCGCGTGTTTTTTTTTTCAACGGGAGAGAAGCAAAAAAAAGAAGAAATATTGAGAAAATTTATTCAGCGAGAGAATCGGTCCTGATTCTCTCTTTTCCCGGTACCTTCAGCATAATAATTAATATAAAAAAGGAAAAGAAAAAAAATCATGAATGAGGGAGAAGGCAATAAATAATTGTACGGGTTAAATTTCACATTTTCTTTGCTTTTTTGAGGAGGTATGAATTGAAGAGGGTTAAGGAAGACACACTTTATTATGACGGCTATTCTGAGTGAATTTTGACCCCATTCATAATTTATAGTGAAGTTACTAGAACTGTTTTACGATAAAACAAAAAAAAAAGGTTTTATGAGAAAAAAAATACGCACACACAGCAGCAGCTCGAGTCATCTATGGCAAAAAATTTACTCTCTCATTTTCTCGCTCAGAATAGGAAGAAAGGAAAAAATTTGCTTCCCTGCAAGATGAGGGTGGGGTTGCGAAAAAAAAGTTTATAAGAATTGCGAAAATTGTAGAAAACTTACGATTCTTTATGCTCCTTTTGCAGTAACTTCTACTGCGTTATTGTTAATTTGGAAGAATGTTTTAATGATGCAAAACTTGTACTTTGCTTGTGCGATGATTAGCAGGACTCTGTCTCCGTCACCTTTTCCGTTATTTCACTCACTAAAACTTAAAGTGCGAAACACAAATAAATTTTTTACATTCACTGATTTTAATAAACTTTTATGGTGATTAAGTAATTAGAGTTATGATGTATGATTGCCAAAGAACTAAAATCACTTTAATTCACTTTATTTGCACACACATATAGAATGAATGGCTGCAATGAAGAAAAAAACCTTTTTTAGCCTTTCTCCGTTCTTTTTTATGTGAATTTTTCACTTTGAATTTTGACTTTACAATCGAAGAGAAAAATTTTTGTATGAGAAAAATTTATATTACTTGGCAACTTTTTTTTTTTACTTTTATTTTATTTTTGTGCACCAAGTTTTTGTTTGAAATTAACAAGGAAAATTATAAGAACTTGATGTACGACTAGACGAAAACTCAACCGCTTTCTAATGTGAAATAAAACTGGATGAGAGCTTGAGGTGTGGAAACAATTCCTGCTCCAACGATTTTTCAATTTCCTATGCGGCTCACTTTTCCAATGCGGGGGTAGCAGATGAATTTTTAGGACGTTGCCGTACTTCCAGTGCGAGCGAATTTATGGATGTTGAGGAAGGAATGATGAAAGTATACAACCATGGGAAATCAATTTTCCAATGAAAAATAAAACTTTCTTTTCCAATCACTTGTGTATGTACACATGCTGGTTGCTTATGTGTATGTGAAAAGGGGACATTTGTTGGATAAAATTTCCATTGTGAGCTAGATGGAAAAATATTTAGCATGGAAATATACATGTGCTTCATTCATTCTTCATATTACTTCGGATAATTATTTGAAATTACTCGACATTTGTGAGGATTTTGTGAACGTTAAAAAAGTTGTAAAGCATGAATTTTCACAAATCAAATTTATATTTTATTATAAAACAAGACTTAGTTCAATCATTTATGTACCATTAGAATTGATGAAGAGGACGAGATGAAGAGAAAAAAAGAGATTAATTTGCACACACAGTTAGGAGTCGCAGAGCATAGTTTGAATGCTTGCTTCAATATAAAACATTTGAAACAACAAAGATGAGGAGCATTTAAATAATGTATTTTTAAAACAAATCTTTGATGACCAGACAAGTTCTTAAGTCCAATAATTATTTCGTTTGAATTTCAAATATAGTAAATATTCCCAAATTTTTTGGTTTACTAGAAGCTTAACATCGTGAATCCTAATTCAAAGTTTCCATACTTATAAACGTGAATTCGTTTGACAAACATTTTATTTCCACACAAGAACAATTATTTGGTATATTCCTGTATGAGAAAAACTGCATCATTTTAATGAAATTATTTCAAATATGGTTAAGTTCGACTAGAATTTCTTTAGAGTCTGTTGTAAGGCACACAAACAAATTTTGACACATTTAAAAATGTTTTGTTTAAAGTTCCTCTATTGTAAATAAATTCCCTTCTGATAATAAATAGAAAATCCACCAATGAATGCCCTAAACATTTATCAATTGAACTTGTGATTATTTTTACACATTTATCTTATCACAAGATTCCATTAGTTATCAAGCTCTTAAAATAACTGAAAATTGAGAATTTAATTCAGTGTTCAAAATGTATTTGATTATAAAGTTGCTTGTGACTTTTCTGTCACTGTTTACGTACGCAAATTCACAACTTTCCTTACCGAGATTAAATTCATCGAGAATTACATCAATTCCAGGTCCGATAATAAGTACCGAATATGGACCAGTTCAAGGCCGTGAAGAGTTTTATGGAACAAAAAGTGTTTATACGTACAAAGGAATTCGTTATGCTGCAGCTCCAGTTGCAAACTTAAGATTTCGACAAGCTATACCACCAGCACCATGGACTCAAGTATTTCAAGCAAATAATCATGGAAACTGGTGTCCACAAATTGACATGAATACACTTGAATATGCTGGAAATGAAGACTGTCTTTTTATCAACATCGCTACACCAACAACTAGACATTCAAATCATGCAGTCGTTGTTAATTTTCATGGTGGTGGACTTCATTCTGGTGCTGGTGATATTGAGCCACTAAGAGCTGACTATGTGAATGAAAATGACGTCATTTACGTCACTCCAAATTATCGCTTAAATATTTTCGGATTTTTCAGCACAGGAGATAGAAATGCACCTGGAAATTATGGCTTAAAAGATATGATAATGGCCTTGAGATGGGTCAGAAGTAATATTGCAAATTTCGGAGGTGATCCTAACAATGTCAGCATTATGGGTGTCAGTGGAGGTAGTGTTGCTGTAAGTATTGAGTGATGCTTAGTATTTTGAACTTTACTTATCATTATCATTTTCAGGTACACGCATTAGTTGTATCTCGCGCAGCTCAAGGGCTTTTTAACAGAGCTTTATCTCATTCCGGATCATTATTTAATTCTTGGGCTTTCACAACAAATCCAGCAGTTTCTGTAAACAAAACTATTTCAAAACTTCGACTTACAGTTTCATCAAATGTAGATTTAGTCTTTCAGCTTCGCCATCTTCCAGCCGAGACTCTCGTGAGAGTTACAGAAGATGATTTTAGTGTAATGCCAAGACTTTTTAATGAGTTTACATTTATGCCATCGATCGATCCTGTTGATTCTCAAGAACCAATTATATTCCCAAGTTCTATTAAAAATTTAATTACAACGGGAAATATCAATCGCGTTCCATATATGGTTGGCTTTAACAGTATGGAAAGTCTTTATTCTATAACTGACATGTTTGCAGATTCTTCATTCCTCAATCAATTCAATCAAAATCCGCATCTATTGATTCCAACTGAATGGAATTTATTGCCAAATTCAAACAATGCAAATGAAGTCATTGCAGCATTTAGAAATCTTTATTTTGGTGGAAGTTCACAAATCACAACTTCTCACTTTTGGGGCTGGGCACAATATGTCTCCGATCGTGAATTTATCTTTGGAGTAACTAAGTCTACTCGACTTCATTGGAGTCAACAATCACTTTATCACTTCCGATTTAGCTACACTGGTGCTTTAAGTCTTGGACAAACTTTGTGGAACTTGAGAGATTTTCCAGAAGCCATGCATGGTGACGATGCCTTCTACTTCTTCCGTATGGAAAACTTTCCACTCGCTGTCCCATCAGATGATCCTGCTTTGACTGTCCAGCAAAGATTCGTGAGACTGTGGACAAATTATTTCAAATTTGGAAATCCAACAGCAATTCGTGATGATTTAGTTACAATTAATTGGCCACTTTATGGAAGCAACGCAGATTTTGTAGATATTGGTTTAAATTTGAGAGTCGATGCTCGACCTTACAGTGAAAGAATGGATGTTTGGTATGGTTTCGATCAGAGATTTAATCCTAATTGAATGAGTTGTTATTAAACATTTGTGATCATTGGTTGAAGTTTGTTTGAGATGAGGCAATAAAAATTCTAGAAGATCACCTTACTCCAGTTAAATCTAGAACTTATTCTTACTTAAAAGTCATGAATCAAGCAATTTAAATTCTAAAAGGATTATCAAATCTACACATGAAATGCCTTAAGAATTATGAAATCATATTTATCTCGGCACATGTGATGGATTGTACCTGTATATCCAAACATGCTATTGTTACTCTTAATGGCTTTATTTTATTCATTCATGTTTGCTTCTGACTTTTTTGTTTGCTTTGTAAGTTTCTTTCATGCAGTAAAAAAGATTTTGTCAAGGAAAATATTCACAACTGGACTATCATTAATCAAGCTTCCCCAGAATCATCAAAATACAATTATTTGCGAATTTCAGAATGTTATGTTAACAGAAGTACGTATTAAAAATACGCAGTTGAATTGAAAACAACACTTTCAAACTTGGCAGTTTTTTGTTGGACAAAGGTGTCAAAAATTTAGCACTTCCTTAATTAATTGACAACCTCAAAATTTATGAATTGTCATTGTGATTCTGCATTTTTAAAAATCAAGAAAAAATGCCACTAAACACTTAATTGATGAAAACAACCAGCTATTAATAATCATGTTAATTAAATCATTGATCAAAATTCATCGTTGGAACTGACTTCACACCACATTATACGTCATCAACTTATACATTTTAATAATAGTATTTCAATTGTCAATGATGAGACATCCAAAAATGTACGCAAACAATGTTTCTTACAATTTACCGGCCAATTGACTTTTCAAGAAGCGTTGATCAAACATTAAACATCTGTGGAACTGGTAAGTGAGAAAACTGTCTGAATCATCATACTCATTTTGACATAATATGTTTGCTGGATTGATTGTCTGTTGACAAATTAACATTTCAAAAAATTGCGAAAAAAATCATTAAGAAATTACTGTGGTTAACAGCATAAGATTACACTCCTGTCATAATATTAATGATTAGAGGAAGTTGTAAAAAGGAAGCAAATTAACTAAGAACAAAATAACATCCAAGATAGAATTAAGAATTTTATCTTATTCAAAATGTTGTCAATAAAATATTTCTGAACATTACAAACTCAAATAATAAAAATGCAAGTCATGAAACTGTTTAAGTAAATATTGTGTCCATTTTTTTAAAAAATATTTTATTTATCTAAGAAATTTGCAAATTTTTATTGTAGCTAAGGTAAGTCAGAATCCCCTATGACATTTGAATTACTATAATAAATCATCAATTGTGAAATTCCATAGCTGATAATTAAAATTCAGCGATTCTTCATTCAAACAATAAGTTTTTATCACAAACAGTTTATAAAATTTAACATTCATTGGTCATTTATGTTAGCATATTTTCGAGATATTGATATTTCTTCTATTTCTAAAGGTAATTTCAAATTGTCCATCAAAAGTCTTTGATCGTCAAAGGCTAGTTGCATTAACGTTGTGTTAATTCTGATAAAATGTTTTTTGATTAAAGAAAAAATCGTCCAAAACATTGAATTCTCTCGCTTTAAAATGCTTAGCACGTGCTGGTGATTCTCATCTTCTCAGAAAATTTTATTGTTGTGCTTAAAGTTTTGTTTTCTCATTTTATGAAGATTTTTTTACTTCTTCTTTTTCTTCCGCTCGCTTAGAAATCATAGCAATAAAAGTGCTCACAGTTTTTAACACCTTAGTAGAAAAAAAATCTCAGAACAAACATTTTGATGACTAAATAGACAGAGAGTGAATCTTAGCGAATCTTTAAGAGCAAGAGATTATTTTTCTTATGAGATAAAGGTATAAAAGACTCATCACAATATTTAGACTAGTTCAATCGCTAATTTTATTTTGGATAGTGCTGTGAAGAAATGTGAAGATAAAAGTTTTGTAGCAAAAAAATTGAAAGTGAAAAAAAAATTGAAAAATTTTAAAAAAATTATGCTTAGTGATTTTTGATTTTCAAGAACTTTAAAAGTTAAAGAATTTTTTTAAAATATATGAAATATTAAAAATAAAAATTTTCTGGATCTTTTTGGAGATTTGAAAAGTAAAAATCAAAAAAGAAAGTAAAAAGTTTTAAAAAATAAATGTGAAAAAAGTTTTTCCAGAAAAATTTAAAAAATTTTAAAAAGTGAAAAAAATTCAAAGCATTTTTTTTATTTTTTAAAATTATTAAGACAAATTTAATCGAATCTCAACATTGATCTAGACAATTATTTTATTTGAATTGAAATTTTCAAATCTCACACTTTAAAATAATATGATGTAATTAAAAGATTATTGTGATACAGCATTGTTAAATTGAAAAATTATTATTCAGACTTAAAACCTTCAAAGTAATTCTCAGAAAACTCACGCTTTTCCCCAAAAAAATCTCAAAGTGAGAAATAAATTACCAAGTGCCATTAAAAACTAAAAGACAATTGAAATGGATATAAATGACAATGACATAATAGTATCTGGCATATCAGGTCGTTTCCCAAATTCAAATAATGTCAGTGAATTTGCCTACAATTTATACAACAAAGTGGACATGACAGATGAAGACGAAAGTCGCTGGAAGCATTTTCATGAAGACGTTCCAAAACGATTCGGCAAAATTCGAAATATCGAGAAATTTGATGCTTCCTTCTTCTCGACATTGAATAAGCATGCTAATTGGACAGATCCACAAATGAGAATGCTTCTTGAACACGCATATGAGGTAATGAAGTACTACAATAGATGTTAGGTATAGTTTATGATTGTAAATGTAAATTGCAGTCAATATTGGATGCTGGAATTTCCCCGCAATCTCTGATTGGAAGTAAAACTGGTGTGTTTATTGGCTGCAGTATTTCTGATTCAAAAGATGCATTCGTCCATAGAATGCCACCAAAAGATGGATATGTGGTTTTGGGGTGAGTTCTTCACAGTTTTACTTTTGTAGTCAATTCTGTTAAACAAGTTCTATAGGACCTACGCATGTAAACTGATCTTAAGTCTTCTAACATATAGAATAACCAAAAGTATGAATTTCTTACATCCAAATAAAATTCTTTGAGTTCTTCTTCTTCTTTTATCACTTTTGTGCTTTTATTTGGATTTCTTCTTGACATCAAAAGTTGTCAAATATTAATTGAAGACACAATAAATGCCAAAAGAATTTATATAGGCATAAATGACACTTGATGATTCCTCAATTCTTGATACTAATTGTAAATCATACAAAAATTCGTTTCTTCCTGCAAAATATATATTTTTCGTTCTTTACAGACATTTTTATTAGTTTAAATAATTATTAAAAGTCGCATTGGAATTGATGCTTCCTTATTGAAATCGAGAATGAATAAATTGTTGACTCTTTTGATTTTTACATTCGCGTACAATATTTATAAAAGTTGTATTTGAATTTGACTAGAACCATTTGAATATTAAAGAGAATGATGTTGCTTTAGATTTTTTAAAAGTGGAAGTGGATTTTGAATGTTGTTTGGCGTGCCTTCGAATTTCATGTGACTTTGTCGCACGTTTAAATATTTTTATCGTAAATATTTTTGTCTAGTTTTTTAAGGAAATTTAAAAATAATATTTTAAAGTCAGGCAACAATAATTGATTATGGATATCAAAGTTTTTATTTCAAGATTTTTTGTAAAATTATTAATTATATTTCAATGTCTTTTGTGTCGTTAAAAGATTTGGAGTGCTTTCAATTTGTCGTTTAGGAATTTGTTTTTAAAGCATTTTTAAGAAGCTTCAATTCAAATGCTTGTAATTATAAGTTCATAATAATTCAATGGTCTTCTAAGCTACGTCATTTGTAATTTATTCAGTGATTCTATTTAAACTTTGATGACCATCTAAAACTGTTGAACGATAATACTACCTAAATAAGGTATTTTGGTTCCATTTGAGATATTTTTTTAAGTACTTAATTAAGACATAAAGTCATTGTTTATAGCTAACATTAATAACAAGCTTATAGAATCATAATAAATACAAAATTTAAAAAAATCAAACCTGACAACAGCACACAAAAAACAAAAGTTTTACTAATTTTTGAGTTTAAAAGCATTTTTTTCATATTTTTTAATGAAAAAAAAATGAGAAAACCTTAATTAATGATTAATTTATTGTCCAACTTCTTCAGCTTATTCAAGGTTTTAAGGTTTGTCATCAATGTCTTCAAGAGCATTACATAAATCTTGTCTAGATAGAAAAGCAATAATGCCTAAGGGCTCTAAGTCGTTAATGTTAATATAATTTGTATAAATGTGTATTTTGTGAGTTCAAAAACCTCTCTAAGCATGCAAAATCTGCGTATGATTTTTTGGGTTTGATTTCTTTAATTTTGAAATTAGTTGTAAATCAGTAGTTTTGTTTATTTACCGATCATATGCGACATAATTAAGTAATTGAAAATTTTGACTGGCACATTTGAAAGCTTTTCTTAAAGCCTCGGTCAATATACTGCAGCGCGAAGTCGAATATGTTGTAATCAATAAAAATTCAATTAATGAATCTGAAAAAAACTAATTAATACCCAAGGGCGGTTTATATTTTGGTAACAGAAATCAATTGATGTTTATTTGGGTCAGTTTCAACTGTTGTAAATAATTTCTGAGGTTTAATATTTTTCTGTGATTGGCACTACTTTTATTCAAGGCCAAAACCCCACCCATAATATGCAAATCAATGAGTGGTTCTTCCAAAAATTGTGACTTGAATTTGCGTCAACTCTTGAAATTTTAATGTAAATAAATCTACGCACATTCCAACATTTTGAGTATTTTATTTTCAAATTGTAAAATATTTTATTACATAATTTTTGGTCGTGAAAGGTTCAGACTTTTTTGAAGTGTCATTCTGTAAAAATCTATTTTACACTAAGATTTTTAGTAAATAAAAAATAAGTGCTAATTAGAATATCAATCTGGCTACAAAACGATTGTCATGGAAAATAATTTTAATATTAAGCAATAATGCAACTGCTCAGCTTATTTTTATTTACTTTTGATGCATATGCTAATTATTATTTTCTGCAGACTCATTGTCATCAAACCTTAATCTATTTTCTATATTCTTCACACAGAAATGCTAATTTTTACCTTTCGAATCGAATATCATACGCTCTTGGTCTATGTGGTCCATCTTTTACTCTCGACACAGCATGTTCAAGCTCCGCATATGCTCTCGATTGTGCTTTTCGCTATATTGAATCAGGTTTTTAATTTATTCCAATTTTAGGGCTATTCCCATCCACTTAATATTCATTTCTCTTTTAAGGTTTGTGTGACGCAGCATTAGTTGGAGGTTCTCAACTTATTCTGAACTGTGGATTAGCAGCTGAATATACAAAGTGAGTTGTTAGATTTATGAATGAATATTTTTTTACACATTCGTAACTTGTTTATTAACAGGTTAGGAATTTTGGCAAGCGACGGAGTTTGTCGACCATTTGATGAGAACGCAACTGGTTTTTCTCGTGCCGAAACAATTTGTGTCATATTTCTTCAACAACGCAAAGACTCGAAACGTATTTATGCTAATCTGGTTTACAGTAGCTCTAATAATGATGGATTTAAAAAGGAAGGAGCTTCATTTCCATCAAAAATCATGCAACAGAAACTGATTGAAGACTTTTATAGTAACTTAAAATTTGATCCTGAAAATGTCAATTTTGTTGAAGCACACTCAACTGGCACTAAACTTGGAGATCCAGAAGAAGTTCAAGCTATTGATGCAGTATTTTGTAAAAATAATAATCGATCTCAAGAATTAGTTATTGGAAGTGTAAAATCAAATATGGGACATGCAGAAGCAGCTTCAGGAATGGCATCAATTGCTAAGATTTTACTTTCCCTTGACAGTCAGAAATTTCCACCAAACATAAACTTGAAATCTCCTCGATCTGATGTTGCTGCATTTTCTGAGGGACGAATTAAAGTCGCAACAGAAGTTGAGGAACTGATCGGAGGTTTTATTGCAATGAATTCTTTTGGTCTTGGAGGTGGAAATGCACATTCACTTTTCAGAGGAAATCCAAAAGTCAAATCAAATTTTGGTATTCCTGATGACGAACTTGGTAGAATGGTGTTGTGGTCAGGCAGAACAGAAGCTGCAATAAATGCAATTTTTGATGATATCACACAACGTCCACTTGATGCTGAACATATTGCACTTCTTCAGAATTCTCAAACACAAACAACAAGTGCTAATACTTATCGTGGATATGGAATGTTCATTAATGACAAAACAGAAGGAAAAGCAGTTTGTGTGAAGCAAAACATTCAGTATTTCAATGGATCACGACGTCCAGTTGTATTTGTGTATAGTGGAATCGGAAGTCAATGGCTTGAAATGGGACGAGATTTGATGAAAATTCCTCTAGTTGCTCAATCAATTGAGAAATGCCATGGCATACTGATGAATAAAGGAATCGCCTTGAAGAACATCCTAACATCAGCTGACGAGGACACATTCAGTAATGTCTTGCATTCATATGTTGGAATTATTGCAATTGAAATCGCACTTACTGACATTCTGAAGGAATTGAATATTGTTCCTGATTACATCATTGGACACTCAGTTGGTGAACTAGGTTGTGCATATGCTGACAACTGCATCACTGCTGAAGAGACACTATTGGCTGCATATGCTCGAGGTGAAGCCAGTAGAGATTCTCAAACTTTTCGAGGTGCAATGGCAGCCGTAGGAGTGAATCATATAAAATTAGAAGAAATGATACCAGATGACATTGATATCGCATGCCATAATGGTGAAGACTCAAGCACAATCAGTGGACCTGCCGACAGTGTTAATGAATTTGTTCAAAAACTAAAAGAAGACAAAATTTTTGCCAAAGAAGTTGCATGCTCAGGAATTGCGCTACACAGTCGATATATCACTGAAATGGGTCAAAAGCTTTATAAAAAGCTTCAACTAATAATAAAAGATCCAAAAATGCGTTCAAGAAAATGGCTTAGTTCAACCTATCCTGAACACATGTGGAATGAAGATGAAGCTTATTTCTCATCAGCTGAGTATCATACGAGGAACCTCCTCAATCCGGTTTTCTTTCAAGAAGTAACTGAGATGCTTCCAAAAGATTCTCTAGTAATTGAGATAGCACCACATGGGCTATTAAAAGCCATTCTGAAGAGAAACATAAAGGAAGGTGTGCATGTAAGCTTAACACAAAGAGAAAGTAAAGATGGTGTTGAGTTCTTTATGGATTCTCTAGGAGGGTAAGTGGCCTTAAAAATCATAATAAATAATGACTAAATGAGATTATTTTACAGTCTGTTCCAGTATGGATTGGATATGGACATATCAAAATTGTACCCACCGATAAGTTTTCCTGTCTCTAGAGGAACTCCGATGATTTCACCTGTCATTAAATGGAATCATGAAGATGATCACTTTGTACCACATTTTGATACCTATAACACATTTGAGAGACGTAATATTGTCATCAACATAAGCGACAAAAAGTTTGAGTTCATTCAGGGTCACATGGTCGATGGTCGTGTTCTATTTCCTGCAACTGGTTGGATCTTTCTGGTTTGGGAAACATTTTCAATGATGATTGGTGCTCACTACGAGAAGGTCAAGGTGGTTTTTGATGCCATTCATTTTCTCCGTGCTACATCATTAACAAAGAATCAAGATGTGCTAATAACAATATCAATCCATCGTGGAACTGGAAGGTTTGAAATCATTGAAGGGAATTCACCGGTCGTGTATGGCTACATTAAGCAAGTTGATGACATTGAAATGTCTGAAATTACTGTTCTTAGTGATGAGAATACTGTAACATTGAGTGGAGATGATTTCTATAGAGAAATGCGATTGAATGGATTCTGTCACTTAGGGCCATTCAAGGGTGTCAAGGAAATCAGACATGATGGATTAAAGGGAAAAATAAAGTGGATAAAAAATTGGATTACATTTTTGGACAGCATGACTCATTTTGAAGAAAGACAATCAAAATCAAAGAAATTGGCACTTCCAACAAACATACGGAAAGTGATAATAGATCCAATCTTACATTATGAAATGCTTGAAGGCATTAAAAAGGAAATGGATGAGAACAATAAGCTAGAACAAGGAGAAAGCGAAAATTCAGAAGAACAAGGCATTCTTTATGATGTTGCTATATCTCCTCACCTGAAAATCATCAAATCAGGTGGTGTCGAGTTACATGATAAAGTCAACCGTGTAGTCAACAGAAGAAGACCAAAAGAACCATTTATTGAGACTCACAACTTCGTTCCATTCTTTTCATCAAAAAAATATTCATTAAATGATGCAGCTAAAATCATCACACAAACTGCTCTCGAGAACATTTTTCAAGCTAAATGCACATCAGTTGAAATTGATACAACAAGTGTCGATGAAATTCAGCCATTAAGTGAGCATTTATCGAAAGCATTACGTGGAATTCCTTTAGTCATTGCAGACGTCATTTTGGTCACAGCAAGAGAAAATTTTAAACTAGAAAATGTCAAAATTAGTGCTGAAGAGCTTTCATCATTCAACGATGTTGATTTGGTTATTAGAAATAATTGTATAGGTGATGAAGAGTTCTTTGAAGCTGTCAAAACTGTGATAAGTGGACATGGATACATAATTTCGAGAGAATATCAAGAATACTCAGAGATACCACACGAAAATGTTCAACTTGTTGCCAAAATTCACACCAATGACAATGAAATAATTCACATGCTGCAATTTAAAAATGAAGCTAAGGTTATTGACCCACATAATGTGATAGAAATAACGTCAGATGCCAAAGAATGGATAGACAATCTTAAAGTCTCATTATCTGAAGCTCCTACTCTTATTTATGCTTATAATCGAGACTATTCAGGAATTTTGGGATTCATAAATTGTGTTAAACGAGAATATCCAGTTGATCGCCTCAAATGCTTCTTCATTATGGATACACAGAACGCACCTTCAGTCTTTGATTTAAACAACAGTTTCTTCAAATCACAACTAGAACTGAATCATGCAGTGAATGTATTTAAAGATGGAAAATGGGGAAGCTACAGACACTTGGACATGCCAATTATGAATGATTTACATTCACAGCCTCAACATTGTTATGTTAATTGTCTTGTTAAGGGAGACTTATCAACACTTTCATGGCTCAACGGTTCACTAGATGTGAACAATAAAAATCTTGACATAATTAAAATTCATTATGCATCGCTTAACTTCAAGGACATTATGTTAGCACTAGGGAGAATTCCTGATAATTGTGATAGTCCAATGAGTCAGCAGAGCATTTTAGGATTTGAATTTTCAGGCACTAAAAGAAATGGTGACAAAGTAATGGGAATCGGGACAAAAGCTGGTGCCTTAGCCACTTTTTACGATGCAGAAAACACAATTTTATGGAATGTTCCTGATACATGGACAATGGAAGAAGCAGCAACTGTGCCACTTGTATACTTTACAGTTTATTTTGCATTCTTTAACACAACAACAATTAAAGCTGGAAAGAAAATCTTAATTCATTCTGGAAGTGGTGGAGTTGGACAAGCAGCAATTGAAGTTGCATTTGCTTACGGAGTAGAAGTCTACACAACTGTCAGCAATGAAGAAAAGAAAAATTTCTTGTTAAAAAGATTTCCAAAATTGAAACCTGAAAATATTGGAAATTCTCGAAACACAACTTTTGAGAAAATGGTTCTCGAAAATACAGAAGGCAAAGGAATTGATTATGTCCTGAACTCATTATCTGATGACAAGCTACAAGCATCAGTTCGATGTCTCGGAAAAGATGGTGTGTTTTTAGAGATCGGAAAGTATGATATTCTTAAGGGAACTAACATAGATATGAGATATTTAGCAAAGCGTATTACAATGAAGGCTGTTATATTTGACGACCTTGCAGACGACTCAGAAGAAATGAAGGTAAACCAAATTTCTTTGTTTTATGTTAACAAAAATAATTTAAAGGTTAACTTCCGTATTTTTAGTTCATTTATAATTGTGTTGAAGAAGATCTTAAAGCGGGAGTCATAAAACCTTTAAGTACAACAATTTTTGAGGCAAACCAAATTGAAGAAGCATTTCGGTTCATGGCAAATGGAAAACACATAGGCAAGGTTCTCCTAAAAGTTAGACAACACGAAGATGACGAGAGTTCATTGCCCTTAATTACCTTGAATCGAGTTTATTGTGGCGCCAATGAGTCTATTGTTATTTCGGGTGGCCTTGGAGGTTTTGGAATGGAATTATCTGAATGGCTAATATCAAGAGGCTGCCGTAAACTTGTATTGAATTCAAGAAGAGGTGTCATCAACATGAATCAGCATCTGAAGGTTGAGTAAGTAGAGCACTTTTTGGATCAGTGAATAAAAATAATTATGTAACTGCTAATAAATAGGAATATTAATCTATTATGTAAATTTTTACAGAGTATGGAGATACTATGGAGTAGAAGTAATTATAAATACATCAGACATTTCAACAGAACAAGGATGTGAAGATTTGATTAAGCAAGCTTTAGAGCTTGGACCTGTTGGTGCTATTTTCAATCTTGCTGCAGTTCTTCGAGACGGAATTTTCGAGAATTTAGATCAACAAATGTTCAATGAATCTATGGCACCGAAAGCACTTGGAACAAAATATTTGGATAAAGTATCAAGAATTCTGTGTCCAACTCTAAAATATTTTGTTGTATTCTCAAGTGTCTCTTGTGGACGTGGTAATGCTGGTCAAAGTAATTATGGAATGGCTAATTCAGTCATGGAAAGAATAATTGAAGACAGACATCGCTATGGACTTCCTGGAAAAGCTATCCAATGGGGTGCAATTGGTGATGTAGGAATGCTTGCTGACTTCCAATTAGCAAATATGGACAAGGATATTGGAGGTACATTACCTCAACCAATATCATCGTGCCTTGAAGTTCTCGATGTTCTTCTAACGTCAAAAGATCCAACAGTTTCAAGCACAGTTGTGGCAGATAAGCTCATGGAAGATTATAGAAAAGGTAATGTTATTGACATAATTCTCAATATTATGGGAATTCGTGACAAAAAGTCAATTTCAATGGACTCAACTCTAACTCAGTTAGGCATAGATTCATTAATGGGTGTTGAAATCCAGCAAATTCTTGAACGAGAGTTCGATGTTTCCTTTACTTCACAAGAATTAAGATCATTTACACTTAATCAACTGGAAAAGCGAATCTCATCAAAGAATTCCGAAGATTCAAGTGGAAATGCTGTCAATGATGATGCTGAGAAAGTTGAATGGATGAAGCTGTTAATGGAAGGTGTAATTGACTCAGAAACATTAAATTTAATATCACCGGAAACACTAGTTAAAGTAAATGATGTTGAAGATTTTGAAGGAACGAAAATTTTAGTTATTCCTGGATTTTATGGTTTTGCTGCAAATGTTTACCGAACTCTAGCAAAACAGATGAAATATCCAGCATTTATATTGCAACTTTTAAATACATCTGAATTCGAACGAATTGATGACATTGTCAAGAGTCTGACTCCAACTATTCTTGATATGTACAAAGACACGGAGAATTTTATTCTTATAGGACATTCATTTGGTTCCATTTTAGCATTAAAAATAGCAGAAATTTTAGAAGATGAGGGAAAATCAGGACAAATCATTCAACTTGATGGATCACCTCAATTTATTCATAGATTCTCAATTAAAATGATGACTGAAAGGACTATTGAAGACATGAGATCATCAATATCTATGGTTTTATTCAATGTACTGCTTCCATATGTAGATCCAAATGATGCTAAAATTTCATTTATGAAGCACGATAATTGGGAGTCTAGAACAGAGAAATTAATCAATTTATCAGCTGAGAAACTTCCGTTCAGCTACGAATTCATTAATCGAAATGTAACTGTAGCTTATATTAATCGTTTTAACATCTCACTTCATATTAAAGACGATGCTTTTCCAACACTTAAAAGCACGAATATCTCACTCATCAAAGCCACTAAATCATCAATCAATGGAATTCATAAAGATTATGCATTGTCACGGTACTCAACACATCCTGTAAAACTTAGTTTTATTGATGGTGATCATGTCACGATATTAAAAAATCCAGTATTAATTTCGAATATTGAAGATATTTTGTCTTCAACCAAGTTTGCGTAAATTTGTATTCATAATTTTAATTAAGGATTAAATAAAGCAAATTGATCTAATATTAAGCAAACAAAAGCTTTGAATTTTTATGAATAAGATAAACAATTAATTTATATTACAGAATTAAAGTTTTTAAAGCAATAAGAAGAGTATTTCATTTTAATTAAATTAAATACAAATTATTTAAAATGATTTTAAATTGCCGAAGGTTTTGTAAAATTTAAATTGAGTTTAATAAAAGTAGAACTTGTGGAGATTTGATCATCTCGCGTTGTTTATAAATGTAGACATTATATTAAATTTGTGTTAAGAGTTCGGAAGATTAAATATTATTATGTAACAGTGATTGAAGTTGACATTTATTGTTGCTTTATATTGAATATTTCATTATAATCTCAATTGTTTGAAAGTAGTTTACAAGCGCAAACTTAAAATAAGAAAAAAATGAATGTTTTTGGTGACTTGAAGTTGTAGTCTAATTCAATAAAAACAGCCTCGAATCTGTCGCTATACATGTGAACAACATCCTTATTCCAAGTATTGCGATGCTAAGCATGAAATTGGTAAGAGATCAGATATATAATTATTTGCAATTATTTAGACGTTTCCAGAAAATGAAACTATATATTTTTGTCTTCTTATTTAATGTTCAATTGACGTTATAAAGATATTGATGTCTTGCCGAAAGGTGAAAATGCTTTAGTTCATCGCGACAAACACCAACTTAGCTATGACGTACTGAATCCATGTACCGGATTATATTATGACCTACGCAACAAAATAAATGTTGATGGAAGCAAAAAGCCGAAATGCTTAAAACAAAAGCAAAACATGCAGAGATCATTATTAAGAAAGCTAGCTTTTTGAGTACAATTTTCAAAGCAAATTACGAATTGTATGAAATAGTCAGCAAAAACAGATAAACAATAACAGGTTTTCTGTTAAATTTTCAAGCTCAGACTTTTAATTGACATAGACGTTTGAACATTAATTATTTGATTTGGTGTCAAAATCTTAGTTTAAGTAAATGTATTTCGTGCTGTGAGCAAAATATCTGAAATCCCACAAGAATCATAATGAAATAGAATGGGAAGGATTAATACGCACTTTTTTATTTTATGAGTTAAAGCTTTTTATGTCCAAAAATGTATTCAATGATTCTTCTTATAGTGCAAGCTTCATAAAACAAAATTTAGAAACCACAATCAATGAAAAAATTAGACTATTACAAAAGATTTGAAGCACAGTTTTATTACAGCATTACAAGATTTCATTCAATTTGAATCAGACAAAATAAAATAATTTAATTTCTAAAGTCAGCTAAAATATGATATGAATAAAAACAAATAACAGTCGAAAAAATATTTCAATTAGTGTTGGTAAAGTTAATAGAATTAATTTTGGATGATGTATGTGATGAAAAAACAGGATGAAAGACTTGGAGCATTCTTGCAAAAATACCAGTGTTGTTAGCTTTGCAATGCTAAGTTTTAAATATTTGAAAGAAAAATATTAAATTAAGGAATTCTAATTCTTTATTAAAACAGGTAAAGAAAAGGATTCAAGGCACTTAAAGACAAAGGTTTTAATTTTTAAAAAGTGCTCTTAGCATAAAGTCACAGTATAATTTGCTCATCAAAGACCTCAGGGCATAATTAAACGAGCAAGACCAAATACCGATCTAGACTAGGCATTTAGAAACTTATACATCAGCTCTGCACAATACAACTCTTTAGTAATTATCCATTGAACTTACACAATAACATTCAAAATGTTTCAATGTGCGCCCTTATGTCATAAGTGTAATTAATATGTTGACTCCCAAAAAGTTTTAAATGTATTAGGCTACTGAATTTTGGTGAGTATAAAAAGACCATTACAAGATGTGTGAAGGTTCAATTTAAAAGTATAATTCAATCAGTGAAGTGTGTTGTGAACTAATCGTGGAGAAATAAAAAAGAAACAAAAACGAAATAAACTTTATTTAAAAGCTGTTAAATTTCAAAAAAAAAATATTAAAAGTCGAATTATCATTGAAAAATATTTAAAACTTTACGAAAATTTCTCAACAAGTGATTTAGCAATAATGGTCAGTAAAGACAGTGATATTGTAATATCTGGAATAGCAGGAAGATTTCCAAACTCAAATAATTTAAAAGAATTTGAGTATAATTTATACAATAAAGTGGATATGACAACTGACGATGATAGTCGTTGGAAACATTTTACAGATGATGTTCCGCCTAGATATGGAAAAATTGGGAACTTAGAAAAGTTTGATGCTTCATTTTTTTCGACTTTAAATAAACATGCTAATTGGACTGATCCTCAAATAAGAGTTTTGCTTGAACATGCGTATGAGGTAGGGATAAACAAATGTGTTGTGATTGAAAGCTGATAGCTGTTATTTGTAGTCAATTTTGGATGCTGGCATCTCACCTCAATCGTTAATTGGAAGTAAAACTGGAGTTTTTATTGGATGTAGTACATCGGATTCTAGAGATGCATTTCTCCATCGAATTCCACCAAAGGATGGATATTTTATATTAGGGTAAATGTCAAGTTAGTTTAAATATGGATTTAAAAATATAAAATAAAAACTATTGTTTGTAAATAGGAATGGAGGTTTCTATGTTTCAAATAGAATATCATATGCTCTTGGCTTATGTGGACCCTCACTTACAGTTGATACAGCATGCTCAAGTTCAGCTTATGCTCTTGATACCGCATTTCGTTATATGGAAGCAGGTAAGAAATAAAATCGGTTAAAAAACCAAAACTTCACTTATATTTTATTGAAACACAAAAAGGTTTATGTGATTCAGCACTAGTTGGAGGCTCACAGTTGATTTTGAGCTGTGGTATAACAATAGAATATTCTAAGCTAGGAATTTTAGCCAAGGATGGAATTTCTCGACCTTTTGATGAAGAGGCTAGTGGATTTACTCGAGCAGAATCAATTTCTGTAATATTCTTGCAAAAAAGGAAAGATTCAAAGCGCATCTATGCAAATGTTGTGTATAGCAGTTCCAACAATGATGGATTCAAGAAAGAAGGAGCTTCATTTCCTTCCAAAATCATGCAACAGAAATTGATTTAAAGTTTTTATCAAACCATCAAATTTGATCCTGCAAATGTCAATTTTGTTGAAGCACACGCAACTGGCACTAAACTTGGAGATCCTGAAGAACTTGCTGCTATTGACGAAGTATTTGCAAAACGAACTGGAAGAGCAAAAACGTTGAGAATTGGAAGTGTAAAATCCAATATGGGACATGCAGAAGCAGCTTCAGGAATGGCATCAATGGCAAAGATTATTCTTTCATTTGAAAATCAGAAGTTTCCACCAAACATAAACTTGAAATCACCTCGATCTGATGTTGCTGCATTTTCTGAAGGACGAATTAAAGTCGCAACAGAAGTTGAGGATCTTGATAGTGAATTTATTGCAATGAATTCGTTTGGTCTTGGAGGTGGAAATGCACATTCACTTTTCAGAGGAAATCCAAAAGTCAAATCAAATTTTGGTATTCCTGATGACGAACTTGGTAGAATGGTGTTGTGGTCAGGCAGAACAGAAACTGCAATAAATGCAATTTTTGATGATATCACACAACGTCCACTTGATACTGAACATATTGCACTTCTCCAGAATTCTCAAACACAAACAACAAGTGCTAATACTTATCGAGGATATGGAATGTTCATTAATGACAAAAGTGAAGGAAAAGCAGTTTGTGTGAAGCAAAACATTCAGTATTTCAATGGATCACGACGTCCAGTTGTATTTGTGTATAGTGGAATCGGAAGTCAATGGCTTGAAATGGGACGAGACTTGATGAAAATTCCTCTATTTGCTCAATCAATTGAAAAATGCCATGGCATACTGATGAATAAAGGAATCGACTTAAAGAACATCTTAACATCAGCTGACGATGACACATTCAGTAATGTCTTGCATTCATATGTTGGAATTATTGCAATTGAAATCGCACTTACTGACATTCTGAAAGAATTGAATATTGTTCCTGATTACATCATTGGACATTCAGTTGGTGAACTAGGATGTGCTTATGCTGACAATTGTTTAACTGCTCAAGAAACACTATTGGCTGCTTATGCTCGTGGTGAAGCCAGTAGAGAATCACAAACTATTCGTGGTGCAATGGCAGCTGTTGGAATGAATCATCTGAAGCTCAAAGAAATCGTTCCTGATGACATTGATATCGCATGTCACAATGGTGAAGACTCAAGCACAATCAGTGGACCTGCCAACAGTATAAATGACTTTGTTCAAATACTAAAAGAAGACAAAGTGTTTGCCAAAGAAGTTGCATGCTCTGGAGTTCCATTACACAGCCGATACATCAAAGAAATGGGCCAAAATTTACAAAACAAATTAAAGGAAATAATCAGGGAACCAAAAATGCGATCTGAAAAGTGGTTGAGTTCAACATATGCAGAGGAGATGTGGAAGGAAGATGAAGCAGCATATTGCTCAGCTGAATATCAAACAAAAAATCTCTTGAATCCAGTTCTATTTAAAGAAGTCACTGAAATGCTACCAAATGATGTACTGCTGATTGAAGTTGCTCCGTCAGCATTATTGAGGGCAATTTTAAAGAGAAACCTTAAAGAAGCGTCCTATGTAGGCATGACTGAAAGAAACTCAAAAGACGGATGTGATCATTTTTTGGAAGCCATTGGAAAGTACGAATGTGGCATCTTTTTTTTATTCTAAATTGTATTAATATATTCAATCCTTTTTATTCAGACTTTTCCAACTTGGTGTTGATATGGACATATCGAAATTGTACCCATCAATAACTTTTCCCGTTTCCAGAGGAACTCCAATGATTTCACCTGTCATTAAATGGAATCATGAAGATGATCATTTGGTTCCATATTATGACTCATACAACACGTTTGAGAGAAGAAACGTGGTCATCAATATTAATGATAAGAATTATGAATTTGTACAAGGACATATTGTAGATGGCCGAGTGTTGTTTCCAGCAACTGGCTGGGTATACCTTGTATGGGAAACTTTTTCCTGTATGATCGGTG